CCCGGTCCGGAACGGGGGCAACACTGAGGGTTGCGATCCGTTGCCGGACACGGAAAAAAGACAAAAAAAAAAAAAAAAAAAAATTTGTGAGAGGAAGCTAAAGTGGTGCTTAAAATGAAATCTTTTAATAAAAACTTTTACTTTATATATGTGTGTATGCGTGTATATATGTGTGTGTGTAGATTTATGAAAGATATAAAAATAAATAATCTAAACTACCAACATTAAAAACTCAAAAAAGTAGAAAAAATTAAACCCAAGTTGGGAACTTCCTGAACATGATAAGAGACACCTAGAAAAATCCACATAATTTAATTATTTAATGAGAATATCATGCATGTGGAAAATACTAAAAAGTTTAATAGAAAACTATTAAACCTAATAAGTAAATTTAATGAGGTCACAACAGGATAAACAATGTACAAAATTCTATTGTCTTTCAATATTCTAGCAACAAACAATAGAAACATGAAACTTTAAAAATACCATATACAGAAAGTAGCATTCAAAAACATAAAATATATAGAAATAAATTTATCAAACATCATGCAAGATTCTAACACAAAAACACTATTGAGAGAAAAACTTTAAAACTTTAATAAATAATGAGGCATACCATTTCTATGGATCAAAAGACTCAATATTGGTAGGATAATAGTTCTTCAGTAATTGACTGATAGATTCAATGCAATCTCTATCACAAACTGACAAATAGATTCTAAGGTTTACATAAAAATGCAATTGCCCTAGAATAGCCAAAGTATTTTTGGTAAAGAGAAATATTTGAAGGAATTGTATTACCTGCTTTCAAGACTTTTTATTCAGCTTTAGCATTCAAAATAATGTGGCATTGGCATAGGATAGACATAGAGGATTGACCCTTACCTTGTACCATACACAAAAAACTTAAAGTGAAATATATCACAGATCTAAACATTAAAATTAATTCCATAAAATTTATAGAAGAAAGTCCTCAATCCTTAGATTAGGCAACAATATTCTAGATAAAACACAGAAAGTACTAATGATAAGTAAATTTTTATAAATTGGACTTCATCAAAATTAAAACTTGTATTCCTCTAAAGACCCCATTAAGAAAATAAAAATATATGTCACAGACTAAGAAAATATTCACAGTATATACATCTTACCAAAAAATTTTAAAATTTTACAACTCAAATAAACAACTACATTTTTAAAAGTGGTCAAAAGTGTGAAAAAAAAAAAACTCACCAAAAAAGCTATGGTAATGACCAATAAACAGAGAAAAGATGCTCACCATCATTCATCATGAGAAAATGTAAATTAAAGTTACAATGAAACACCACTACATGTCTATTAGAATGGCCAAAAGACTGAAAATACTAAGTGTTGGTGAAGAGATGGAGCAATGGAAACTTCCATGCCCTTTTTGGTGGGGATGAAAAATGGTAAAATCACGGTGAAAAACAGTTCAATGGCTTCTTGTAAAGTTAAACATCCACTTATACAAACCAGCAACTTCAGTCTGAGGGATTCACCCCTCCAAAATAAAAACTATGTTTACCCAAATACTTGTACATAAATATTCATAGCAGTTTTGTTCAAAATAGCACAGAACTGGAAACAACCACATTTCCATCAGCAGATGAAGGAATAAAGAAATCGCAGTGTATGACCATTACATTGAGTAGCACTAAAAAGGAATGAACCCCAGATACACATAGCAACATGGATGAATCCCCAAATTATATGTCGCGTGAAAGGAATCTGACACGAGTATATACACTGTATGACTTCATTTACATAAAATTCCAGAATGTATAAACTAATTTGTGTGGACAGGAAGTAGATCAGTGGTTGCCTGGAGCCAGAAGTGGGAATGGAGTGACTGGTTAGAAGTAGACCTTAGTTCTAACCTTGACTGTGGTTATGTTTACATGGTTGTACAGCTTTGTCAAAATTCATTAATGGGGCCGGCCCGGTGGCGCACTGGATAGTGTGCCGCTTGGGAAGCGCGGCAGCGCTCCCGTCCGAGGGTTCGGATCCCACGTACAGACCAGCCGCTCACTGGCTGAGCGAGGCGCGGGAGCGACGCCGAGGGTTGCGATTCCGTCACCGGTCCCCGGTCCGGTACGGGGGCCACACTGAGGGGTGCGATCCGTTGCCGGAC